TACCTTAGCAAGGAGGCCACGAAGAGCTTTGGGGCATAGGCTCAAAGATGATCATCCGGGTTCACTGGGTGGAAAGGATTCAGCTTCGTATGTCTTTCCCTGCCCCCCACCCCCATCCTAGAGGGCAGCAGTTTAGCACTGGGGTGGGAGGGAAACAAAACACGAACGTGAGCAGCTATTATAAGCCATCGGTTTTCATTACCCTGGCGCTGGGTGCACTGTTACTATGCAGAGCAAGTCAGCGGTGAGACTCGAGCGCTCTCAGCGAGGGAGGGTGTGCACGGCAGAAGCCATATATCCTCATATTTAATGGCCTGGGGATAAGTGCCTCTTGATGTTCTGCGTTCTCACAATACGACTCTGGCTGGTAATAGGTTTAATTTGGAGAGGTTTGGCCCCTTGACAGATGGTTTCCACAGAGAGTAAACAGAACTGGAGCACTTAAATAACACCACAGTCACTAATGAGATGATTATGGAAAGTGATAATTCAACAAAAAGGACTCTCGGCAGCTTCCGAGAGCGAAGACTCAGGGGAATGGGACTTATTACTCCACAACCGGCACCCACATTTCTCTTCACGCTGTTGCTACGATGCACAACCCTTTTAGGCAGATGAAAAACAACAGACAACAGAAAAAAAAAATAATCCCTATTTTGACAGAAGTGGCTTCCTCTGGGCTCTACAGGCTCTGGGTCAAACAAGAGCTGCTCAGGGACTCGCGTGGCAGGGGGCTCAGAAAACCACACACAGGGTCAGGACAGACGGTACAGCCAGCGCTTGACGGTTGTCCTCCAGAACAGCCACATTTTGGATGCTTGCAAAGCTAACCCTTCAATCAAGCCCTCCAGACCACTCATCGTTTCTGCTGTTCCGCTCTCACCTCCTCCCAATTTCTCCTCCTCCCTGTCTGGGGAGCTTTCCCCCTCGGGAAGGCACTCGAATCAAAGCGGGAGGAATAGTCCCATTGCAGTCAACGCATGGCCCCTCATTCCCTGGTCCCCGGTCACTGATCCAGTCTTCACTGGGGGATCTGTGGCCTGGGTGGGAGCGCTCCTGGCTGTCCCAGGAGTACCGCTTACTCTAATCCCATGTGCTCAAGCAGTCTGAACCTCCCGTAGTTTAGCGGGATGGATCCCCCACCCCTAGAAAACCCCGAATTGTCCGACAGCCTTATATTTGACTTTAAAAGACAACACGCTCCACTACTGAAAGCTAGCCCAGTCAGATGGCAGGCCCCCTCTTGGTAGCCAGCGGATGGCTAGGGTTTGAACTGGGTTTCATGCAAGAAAAGTTATGGCTTGCGGTCCTGGATCTCACATCAGGGGAAATAATAGCAGTCGCTGACAGCAGACTGGGGCCGGAGGCGTTGATCTGACCGACAGCGCGCTGCTTGAGGAGGTGGCCCGAGGCAGCCACGCGTAAGCTTTCTGCACGGGAGCTCTGCCGTCGTCTCTCAGGACCACAGCAAGCGAGGCAGGAGGGAGGATGGCAGCCGTCATACTCGGGGATCGCAAAGGCGTCCTGTGAAGCTTAATCTCAGCCCAGGCCCAGGAAGCCGGGGCTCAGGGGCAGACCAGGTCCAAGTGCCCCTGTGAAAACACCATCCTCAGTACAGCAGGGATGAGGCCTGCTGCAGAAGAGACAAGGGAAGATCATGGCACGATCACTGGCACGCTCCTCTCCCTTCTGCTGACCTCTCCCTCTCGGACTTCCTCCCGCTCCCAACCCCTCAGGCCTCCCCTGCTGCACCCACGGCTCACAAGCAGCCCGGCTGCCCTTGCAAACACCTGCCGCCTCTGACACCTCGTTTGCTTCAGAGAGGACAGCGACAGGAAGGGGGCCAACGAGAGCCGCATCAGACCAGAGGCCCAAAGCGACATAAAGCTTCCTTTGAACTCCTACTCGGGCAGTCAGGTCAGTAGCAGCATCACTCCAGGAGCCATAAATAAAGCAAAGACTTTCGCTACCCTTTAAACCACAACTATTTGTTTCTCCAGAGACTAATTCCTCGAGGAAAAAACAACAAACAGACTCGGGCTGTCCTGCACGTTCCCTGGGTGGCCTGCTGTCCGCCGCATCCCCACCGCCTGGGTTCAGGGGAGCAAACCGGGACTTGCCCCTGTGCTCTCCTGCAGCGCGGGAGCACTTAGCTCTCTCCTGCCCGCAGGTGCTGACCGCTTCGTGCATGGACAAAGGTGGTCTAGCTTCCAAAAGCACCAGCATCCTTCCAGAATAACAGCGATGAGAGTCAATTAAGGCGAGGAACGCACAGGCCGACTATCAGACTGGAGAGCTTTTAACGCTGAGCTCTGCCTGGGAAGAACTCTCCCATGAGAAAGCTGAAGCCCATCCCATGCAGCGCCTGAAAGCAAGCCATGACCACCCTAAAGGGAAGAAATCTGCATCGGGAGATGGGCCTGCTGATCCAATGCAGACTTTCTAAGCCCAGTTTCGATTTGGCGTTTTCTGATAGCTGAATGGAAAAGACAAACTTCAAGCTCAAGAGGCTTCTGGAAGCTGAAGAAGAATTACATTCCCGGTCCCGCGCAGCCCTTTCAGCCGTCCAGGAGGGCACCGTGGTTTATTGGTTGAAGCACAATGTCAGGAACCTGCAAGACCTGATTTCTTCACTCCTGAGCCAGGTTCTGTATCACTTCACTCACCTCGGGCCCGGTTTGGCCTTCTGTAAAACAACAACTTGTCTATCGACATCCACGGGCTGCTTGAGAAGGGAAGAGTGAATGCAGGCAGCAAAGTGAACATGCCAGTGCTGCTGTGAGACTAAAAACGCGTCCAAATCAGTTTGTGTAAAGAGGAAAAGCTACAGCCTGTCTCCTTCCAAAGTGCGGCCCTGCACCTGGAGCCCCAGAAGGGGCTGGCTGCACAGAGGAAACATGGCACCGTGTGCTTGAACAGATCTGCTTTGTGTCGATGAGCTTTGCTCTACGCCTGGGCTCACGTGCGAGACGCCCTTTTGTCTCGTGCCCCGGGTAACAACAATAGGTTAATAAGAAAGAAAAATCTCAGCGCTGCGCAGGGCATTTCCCATGCAGCTTGCAGACCACCGCTTGTTTGCTTCCACAGCCTTGGCACTGCTCGAAAACCCTGTGAGAAGCAGGCCGTAAGACTTGTTTTAGTGCATGAATCAAACAAGCCAAGCCCAACACAGATACCAGGCAGGGACATACCAGAGTTATAGTGGTTACCAGGTCGACTCTTGCTTTGCACAAAGCTTTGGCAACATGTTTGGCTTCTGAAACATCGGGCCATGGAAACAACAAAGCTGATTAAGAGCCAGGTGCAACGCTGGAATCCTCTCACTACGTAATTCTGTAACGCGGAAACCAAGTGCTGGTCTGGACACAGAGATCCTGGGAATAACAACACCGTACTGGCCTGGAAATGAATCACTTGGGTAGAGGGCACATGCTTGCCCCTCATTTCCACTCCAGGTGCCCATTTGGCTTTGCACACAATGCCAGTTGCCCTGAAGAGCAGACTGCAGGCAGAGCAAGGTCACATCTCCTACCTGGGACAGCCAAAATCCCACCTCAATTCAGGCATCACATCCTGGCACCTCTTTCTGCACTGGCAAATGCAAAAAGAACATGCTGATGAAAAACATGACATGACATGAATGAGAATGTGCTACGATCTTTAGAGACAGACTGTAAAACACCCAGAAGTGGAATCGCTCCTAAGCTACACGGGTATTCAGGGTGACTAAAAACTTTCTGTAGTGCCTTTCATCCCACAGCGAGTCAAACTGCACACACACTGACACGCAGCATCCAGTACGGGCAGCAAACACACTGCGCACAACATCCGGCACCGCGCAGGAAGAGGGGTAGTTCTGAGCAGGCCGCGGGAGAAAACTGCTACTTGTATGATGCCAAATGTCACGCTGCAGGCAGGCTTCAGACAGCGAGGTCTCACCCAAAAGACCCCCACAGAATAAATTACAGAGTAAAGCAATACAGCTGCATCAGTAAGATGATGCACACTGATGCCTTTCTTCAGCAGTGGGGTGACTGATGGACCTGGACCAGCGCGATTACACTAGGGACTAGTGTGCTCAGATCCTCGGTCAGTCCATCAGAGATTTCTTTTCACGCCGTCCCTTTTATACCCTGCTCTACAAAACCTGAGCACTAGGAACGCTCTGAGCAGTCAATGCAGAAGTTAAGTTTCATTGCACTGGGCAGTTTATACTACTCTGCACAATACTGCGAGAGGCAGACAACCCTTTGGGATTCATTCGGTTATTAGCCTCCTCTCCAGCTCCTGAGAAACACATAATCTTCATAATCCAGCTTTTGCATTTTTGCTTCTTCACATTTGTCTGAGACAATGACAGGACTGGGGCTAAAAGCCCCAGTCGTGGCATGATACAGCAACACTGCCTCGCCAAGCTACCACGATTTTGATGACTCAATCAGTGAAATAAGACCACACGCAGCAAGGTTTTTTTGGTTTCAATGGACTGTCACATGAAGTGACGTCTCCCTAGAGCCTAGAAAGGAGACTCCTGGAAAGACGTTAAGAAGGCATTTGAGACAACCTTGGAGTTACTACTCTGATACACTCAACTGCTGGATGAAGCAGACATTTGATGGCAGGTAAAATGAAGGCACTTTATCCAGATGTAACACTGGGGACAGAGATGTTACAGACCGCTGGTTTTCCACCTTTTTTCATTTGCAGACCCCTTTGGAAATTTTGAATAGAAGTGCAGACCCCTTTGAGTTGTAAGTGTGGGTATTCACATACTTTTGATTGATCACAGTCATGTCACGGACCCCTTAGACATAGTCTGTAGACCCCCAAGGGTCTGCAGACCACAGGTTGAAAACCACTGTTATAGACAGACCTGAAGACAAGGAGGGTGAAAAGTGCCCGGGGAGAGGATGCCAGCGGGATATGACGGCAGCTCACAGAAAACCACGGACTGTGCGAACCAGATCCTGGGGAAAAACCAGGCCTCGTGTCCCCCTTACCGGGTAGCCCTCTGTCTTCTTCTGGCACCACTTCAGCAGAGCATTCCTCTTGGAGCCACCATATTCTCGGGCCAGGGCTGCTAACGGGTCCTTTCTCTCCACACTAATCAAAAGGGGAAAAAAGGTAGCAAATATGTTAAGTCCCTCCTTCCTTTGGTTGTATGCGTTATGTGCCCATGATAAAAGAGCTGCACCAGGTCCTCTCAATGGGAACCAAGATGTCCTAAGTCAGACACATCCCCGAGTTGCATTTAGATGGGACACGATTAGGTTGGGACCTCTGGAGACAAGGCCCTGAAGCAAAGTCTGGGTCACACGCCCACCCGGGGAGCACTCCGTACAATGCCAGCATGTTCATATGGGATTGACTGACTCTTGTACCACTGCTTCCACCAGCCTTCTCCCCTTCAGACACTGGCAAATTTTCAAGGAGCATCTGAAAAGGCGCCTGTAAAACTAGGGCTTTTGAGCAAAGCACTGAAGGAAGCTCCCTAACGATTCTGGAGCCGTGAACTCATCTCCAGCCATGTCCATGCAGAATAAATTCCTGACTAAACTTAAGAAAATCTGCACACCTTTTTCTTCAGTGGTGCTAGCAACAATGGGAGCTGTGCTGCAGACAGGGCAGGGGGCAGAGGACAGAGGTCAGCTCACCTGCATACTCTGCTGGGCTTGTGCCCGTGCAGAAAAGCTTGCACACTTTCACAGCGGAGATGTACACAATGGGCCACAGTTAGGATTCCTGCCTCTCCTTGCATCAAAATTTGGCATCTGACCACTGGTGCTTGCGCCAACGCTGGCGTGTAACTGAGTCGGGCTCCAGATTCCTGCTCCTTCACAATAAGAGCATGTCATGCCACTTTCTGTACAGTAGTGGCCATTCTGGTAAGAAAGTCGGAGGCTTGGGGAAGTCCGCTCCCCTGGCCAGGTAGAACAAGCCCATCTGAATGGGAGGGCATTAGCTAGCATGCCTAGCAGGAGGAGCCTGGGAACCACTGGCTTCAACACTCATTTTGCTGCCAACTGGCTGGGGGACTCCTGCCAACATGCTGTGTTTCCCAGCCCCTTGAACTGGTACCTGAGTTTGCTCTGGGGCTTCAGGCCGCCGGGGGTGGAAGTCAGCATTCTGCTGTTGAAGGCCATGGAGGGGGGCTTGCTCAGGGACTCCAGGGAGGGACTCTTGCGGAGGTAATGGCCGGGCTTCAGATCTTCGCTTCTCCCTTTCAGAAGGTCTGTGGGAACAGAACAAGCTGTCAGGCCCCGGCTTGAGGCATTTGATTAATCGCTGCCTGCCAGACAACACGTAATCTAGAGCCCGGTGCTTTGATTCCAAACAAATGGACTCGGCTGTGCACCAAACACACGCGGGGTTAGGAAACCTTGGGCAGATAGAGGTGACGGTAACAAGCAGCGTCTTTGATGACTCCAACAGCGCGAGCTGGCTGGCTTCCTGCGATTGAAGTTCCTGCTGTGGGGTGGGGGCTTCAGGTGAATACAGGGAAATACCAGTCTCTACAATCCCAAAGGTTCAGAAGTTGACACTTAGGCATCCTCGCCGGACAGCTGGACGGGCCAACCCTTTCAGCCGTCTGGTGAAGAGCCTTTCACCTTTTGGCTGCTGATTCAAATCCAGCTGGCGGTGGAAGTGAAAAACATCCAATTCCTCGTGCTCAGCTGGGAGCGAGTTTGGCAAGTCTCGGCCCAGTCCCTAGTAGGTACCAGGGGGGCTAATGTCACCGCAGTTAGCACTAGCAGGACTCAAGTTAAGTGAGCCACGGAGACCAAGCCCCTCTAGATGTAAATCCAGGGTGGTTTGGCAGCAGCAAAGGGAAAGCTTGCACGAGGTAACCGGCTTGTCTCTTCCAGGCAAACCGAGAATCCAACTTTCAAGGACTGTCAAGCCTTTCCCTATCATCTGCAGTAAATCCAGACGACTTCAAACAAACACTAGAGCTCTGTTGAAGCCAGGACATTTAACTGCTTCTTCTCTTTTCCCCTTCCCTTGTATTAAATAGCTGCACATGAACTGGATGCTTCCACTCCTTTTCACCTCCACGTCAACAAGAGCTGAAACAAAGTCACTGGGTCCACTGGGTGCCCAGAGAGCAACTTAGGGGATGCTACTGTGTTGTGCCATCACGCCTACAAGTTCCCCCTCCGGATGACAGGTCTCCAAGGAAGGGCACACCGCCAAAGCTGGCCATTCATTCCAGCCCCCACGACCTTCTCCAAAGAACCGCTTGCAGTTTTTGCTCGGGGGCAGCCCGTCTGCAAGGGCTGTACTGAGAGAGTGGAAAAGACCTTACACTTTCTTACTGCAAGCACGAGTTAATAAAGCAGGTCATTAATCTTAGCTCTATCGAGGTCTCAAAACTCCTATTACTCTATCCGAGCTCATGTGCAACGCCAGCCAAACAGCAAAGAGTCCGCAGAGCCTAATCGCTTGTTGTGCCAGTAAACAGTTCCCTTGATGACTATCTGTCAGGGCAGGAGGGTCCTGGATCATTACTGACTATTTACTCAGCCACTGCAGCCACTTGTGGTCTCCTGCTCTTTGCAATCAAAGTGTTTATGCCTTCAATTAAGGTAATGGTTCTTGTACACGGAAGAAAGCGGTAACGCTGGTCCATTCAAGGCTTGTTTACATGGGAAACAGATAGCCGGGCTAGAGCAGCACAGTTAAGTGGAAGAATTACTCCAGACTAGAGTCACCTTTTTTCTGGAACAGCGCCCACGCAGAGTTAGGCTGGCTCTTCCCCTACGTCTCTGGTGGTCAGTTTTACGGTCTCGACTATCCCCAAGTGCCCGCCCGGGGTGGATATAATGCTTACAGCCCCCCTCAGACACAGTGACAGCAACCCCATGGACATGCCGCCAAGAGCCTGGCCTAAACTTGCATGCGCTGGGTTTTGTCCCAGGCTCCGCGCTGTTACGGAAGAAACACCGCTGTCTGCCTGTGCCGACTGCTATTCTGGGAAGCAAAATCAGCTGAGGGCAACACCCGTCAGTGAGGGTAACACCCGATGTTTCTGGGCAAGCAGCACGGGCACGGCGTAGAAAGCTGGTCTCCCACGCTGCAGCTAGCAAAGAACCACGGGAAAGCCACCCACCTCCCAATTCCTGCTCGCACATATGGTCTCTACGGGGAGTATTTCCCCTTCAGTTTTGCAAAGGGCTTCATTCTGTTCCAGGGCTGTTTTAGTTTCTTTGATGCTCCCCACACACCCCAACTAAAACTAGAGGTATCCCCAGGGGGAGAAGGAGAAATACCCCACCAGCTGCTCGGCCGGCCTCTCTCCCACGCTGACGGCCACAGGCAGTTCTGCCCCAACCGCAGGGAGCAGGCTGCGGATGCACAGCAGTGGGCACATCAGCAAATATACTTGGAAGGGAAGAAACAGAAGTGGGGAGAGCCCCCCTGGCACCACGCGAGGAGAGGGGCTCACTGGTTTCATCGATGGGAAGGGGAAGGTGTCAGTCCAGGCAGAGTCTGGCTCCAGATACTCTGTCCTTGGCAGGGCTGGATCCCCCAGTTCTTACTTAAATCTGGGCCCTTTCCCTCCAGTTCCCCATTGGGGATCACCTGAATTCCCTAGAAACTGGGAAAAGCAAATGCCCGATTTCTAAACGCTCGATGCAGGAAAGTGGGAAAAGAAACGGCAGGCTTCCCTTCCTTGCCAAGAGCTCACACCAAAATTACTCCAAAACAGCCCTCTGCTCTGCTGCACTAAGTAAGTCCAGAAGCAGCCTCGCACGTCTGGCCCTGATGTGCTCTGAGCGATCGCCCAGCAGTTTCCTCATGCTCCAGCCTCCAGGCGTTACCCTCTCTGCTGTTTGAAGACCACTGCTGTGCTGCTGGCCAGGTTCCCATCACGCACTCCATCTGTGCCTGCCTTCTCCAGAGCCTCCTTGCTCCTCATCTACAGGAAACCATCCACCATTTCTCCCAATTTAAATAGCCACAGTGAACAGATGGGCACCCATGGACTGACCCTCGCCATAAGCAGATGAATATTCTATGTATGGAAGTGCACACACCACGCTACATGCAGCAATTAATAGAATTAGAGAAGTAAAACAGGGAGATGAAAACTTCTTGCTGGCCTCTGAGAGCCACAAATGCATGCTGTGGTGAACTGGCATGAACGTGCCGGATGGCTCCTGGAGGGCCACACTAAGGAACTCGATGTGGATTCACAGGGAAAAGTATGGGATGAACAGTTAGGAGAAGAGAGCATCCTGGATGGGCACAGACGACATGAGAGCTTCCAGGGACCCAAATGCAGAGAGAGCAGGAAGAGTGCAGGACACCCGAGGAGCCCCCTGGAAGGAGAGGGGGTACAATAATGCTACAGACAGCATGGGATACAGGGGAGGGAACCTCGCCCCCAACTATCTACTGATATGTGCAGCGCAGGGACTTGGTGGTTGTTGGGCTCGGTGATATCAGGCTTGAGACAGCACTGCCTGGAACAGTGCCGGTGATGAGGTGCCAACCCTACGCCTTAGGCCTGGGCTGCACCAGTTATCCCAAACTTCCTCCAACTTGTCCCTGCCTACTAGTTTCCTGCTGGAAACGGCAGGACAGACACCATAAAGTAATGCTCTGTTCATAGACAATGAGCTACGTATCCGCAACAGGGTACATTTGGGTCATATTCCAGACCCCACGGCACCCTGTTGTGATGTTAGTTGAACGGAGCCAGCCTGGAGGTTATTATTATGGAGACCGCTTCACTCTGAATTTCCTTGGGGATATTATTTGATTCAGTACTGTTTGTTTGGGGCTTGGATCAAGTGCCTTCTGGGATTATTTAGATTGGAAACACAGCCACTGCGACTTCATTTCTGTGAGAGACTTCACTGAGGATGCCTGGGACTGGATAAACCCCAGATACAGCGAGAAACTGGGGCTCGTGAGATACTTGTAGAAGAGTTGGTAAGTCACCACGAGCTGCTGCCAAGCAATGGCTTGTATGGAAGGAGCTATTAGCTGCAGCATATTTTCCTTTGGACAACTGTCCACATCACAAAGGCTCTCCCTTGAGACATGCAGTTCCTGAAAGTCCCCAGCTGAATGTTTGCATTTCTTAATTAGAGGAATTTTCCCTCCCAAGTATGAAAATACATGCTCTTCCGCCACTCTAACTTACGGTCTCTTTGCTGAGCTCTGTGCTGGAAGCAGGGACATGCCCACGCGCAGTCTCCATCTTACTGCCCCACCATGTCCTCGTTTGATGGTTTGGAGATGGCTGAGAGCTACTCATTGGTGTACGGGAGTGGTGGGGAGACCACTTTGCCCCAGCATGCCCTTTGCAGGGCAGAACAGCACTGGCTTGCCGGTGCTCTGTGCAGTTGTCAGCTGCCAACTGCTCTAGTCTTAAAATTCAATTCAAATGACATTTTAAAGGCACAGTGATCTGCTGGTGGCTAGCTGTGAAAGGGGGCTGCATTTATTTTCAAGGACTGGTGTACAGCTGGAAGAGCTGAAACTGGTTTTCTGCACTGACGAGCAGCATGAACAGTCCCAGGCAAGATGCCCTCCAGAAACCCAGACAGAATTGGGTTGGGTTTCAAAGGCAACCAGGCCCTTCCAGTGATGTTGTGACCCCCACCCTCTAGTTCTTGGTGTGACGGGAGAAGCCAGCAGCAGGGACAATACTGCCATATTCCTCTTGCTCCGACTTGTTCATCTTTGAGCAGTGACAGTGAAATGTTAACTAGGTATTTAAAAGAGCCAGGCAAGGAATTGCTATTAGCACAGAGAGAAATGCCCAAAGCCACCTGTGCCAGCGAAGGGGTGGAGACCAAGTGTCCATTGCTCACCGAAGTTTGGGGGCATTTCACTGAGGTCCCGTCCGACCCTAGCATCTATGAATCTAGATGACCAGAACATCCCTTCTGGCCTTCAAGTTCATAGATAATGGTTTTGATACTGAAGCAACAATAGGTAGAGATAATAAAGATAAGGGACTCCAGAGGAGGAAGGAAAAACAAATGCTGGCAGAAAAGACTATTATGTGACACGAGAAAAAAAGGCAGCGCGTGAAACAAAAACAAACGCATCTCTCGAGAGCGATGGAAACCGGCTCTGCTCGGAGCCCAGATGGACGGCTCTTCAAATAGCTGCATCTGGATCCGAAGACGTTTGGTGCGCTTCAGCTGAAACCCTACTGCAAAGCAAACAAAACCCCAAAGAAAGCCCTCTGGACTGGTCCCAGATACAGGCACACCGCAGCGAAGACAATCATCTCCTGTTCCACTGGCTGGATTATGGAGGTGCCAGCGATATTTTCGGGTGAAGAGGGCAGGTTTGCATTGGCATAACATACCAGAGCTCTTCTCGAGGTCTAATCCACAGGGGAGTGCAGCAACAAAGCAAAATTGATAAGATCTCTCACATCTACAGGCACTTTGAAGATACTGCTCCTTTTTCACTGTGTTGCTTGGATTAGAGATGAAGTGGAAGGATTGTCTGGCTGGAGATGGAGCACCCGAGAGACGCTATGCTGGTATGTGTGTACGTATGCACGTATTGCGATTACCTGCGAGGGGAAGGTCCGGAAGGTCCGAGTGTTTGGCAACCCCTTTGCTGGCTGGCTTCGCATTATTGTACACAGAATGTCTCTGCAAAAGAAGCAAGCACAGAAAGAGCCATCAGAAAACATGACCGGCGTGTCTAATGGCTAATCAGAGAAAAGGTTTTCCTCACTCAGGGATGAAACACAGGAAAGAAGGGCAACGACCACGCTGGAATACACCTGCTCAGAGCCCCGCAGCTGGCCAGATCCTGGGATAACGCTTCTCCATTAGTACCAGGCGGTTTGGCTCCTTTCAAGGAATTTTCTTTTCTTAACCAAATGCCAAAGACAATTTAGTGCTGTGGGCCCCAGGGGACATCGCTGGCTCTGCCCAGCCTCTCCTCCTCCACCCACTGCTCCAGGAATTGGACACAAAAGAGCTCCTTTTCACTTCCAGGCCCAGTTCCCACTCGCAGCATTGCCCGCTTAGTCTGGCATTAATAGAAGCTGCTAGGGCATCTGTTTAATCATCGAATCACAGACAATGAGGGCTGGAAGGGACCTTGGGAGGTCACATCTAGTCCAACCCCCTGCTCAAAGCAAGACCGTCCCCAACTAAGTCATCCCACCCAAAGCTTTATTGAGCTGGGCTTTAAACACCTCCAAGGATGGAGATCCCACCACCTCTCTGGGTAACTTATTCCAGTGTTTCACCACCCTCCCCGTGACAAAGATTTTCCTAGTATCCAACCTAACCTTCCCTGGCTGCAGCATGAGCCCATTGCTCCTTGTCCTGTCGTCTGCCCCCACTGGGAACGGTCCAGCTCCATCCTCTTTGCAGCCCCCCAGCAGGGAGGTGAAGGCCGCTACCAAATCCCACCTCGGTCTTCTCTTCTGCAGCCTACATAAGCCCAGTTCCCTCGGCCTCTCCTCACCAGTCATGTAAAGTCTTTAATCTCATTCTTCTTACTTCCTTTTCTGAGTCAACAGAGGAAACGCACTCTCACACTTGCTAAGTACTTTTCCTGGGGTCACCCATGCTCCCAATCACCACTCCAATGTCCCGTGCTTGCAGCCACCAAAACAGGCATCCTCTGCCTTCTTTTTTTAGGAAGTCTGTCAGGCATTTAGGCCTCAGTCCTGGAAAATGGTAAGGACCTCGAAGTCCTGTTTTAGCCCACGAGGCGTGAAGTTCAGCAGCTTGCAGGACCGGGCTTTTAAAAATGGCCTGTTTCGGGGTTGCTTTGTTGGGGCTCTGAGCTCATTTGCCAACCTGTCTCATAGCTGTCACGGTCTTTTTTTCCAATGGGCCATGCTTTTCAGTGAACGCATCCCCAGTGGGTCAACCTAAAATATCGGCTCAGCTGCTTCTGGCTTTTATATAATCACCAGCGGGGCTTGATAGAGGCAAATAAGCACTCCAGCTTCCCGAAAATAATTGCAGGCAACGAGGAAGAACTATCACCCGAGAAACTGTCCATCATCCTAACTAGCTGTATGTCGTGTGAGAGAAGCAGACCTTGATTTCTTTCTGGGTGTACTTAAAGGAGACCTGCCCTTGTGCAAGCATCCTGCCTTCGTTAATCTGATCCTGTGTCATGTGAAGAGCATTAAAGCAAACACCAGAGGCTTGGGCCTGGAAGTTGAGGGGCAGCAACTACTCCCCTAAGGGGAGATAGCAGAGTAAATACATACCAGGACTCACCTGATTTCCACTGGCCATTCTACTGCTTCCCATCGATAGAAACCTGACCAACTAGTAATGCTTGGTAATAATGGGGCGATTGGCTTCCAGGGAATAGGTAATTTATTCCTGTTTTCTATTTGCTTCTCGATAAAGAAACTGTTTTGGAATCGGTCCTTATCAGCACTCATTAAATATCCATAAAGACTTCATACAACCCCAGCACGGCTTTCTGAAATGTTCCCTCTGACTCGAACAGTGACCGGTCAAACGGATGCACAAAGGCCCAGATACTTTTATAGGGGCCGGGAATGTTACGGCATGCATGCTACCACCAAAGTCAGAGAGCGTCGCTGTGTTTGCTTTCCCATCACTCCCACAGATCATTTTTTTCTGGAAATATCGCATAACAGCCCTGAAGGCTACTCAGAGCATGCTAATTGCCTGATGCGGTGATGACCAGAAGCACCGCGTCCCAGAAGAGGCATGTTCTGGGAAGAAAGCAAGATATAACAGCTTATCCATCAGCCCTGAAGAGCTGCTCGCTTCATGGGCACTTGCAGGATAGCTCCTCAGGCACATCTGTCATCTCTCTTCTCCCTTCCCCTCTCAAACGCACAGGCTAAATGCCCGGCTTAGTTTGACGCTTATCACAGCTCAATCTAAACGATCAAAACCTACTTCTCTGGTCAACGCTGATTAAAGTTCTGGGCTGGATTGCAAGGAGTTCACCCCCCGCCTGGGGACACAAACCAGCTCGCTTTGATCCCTTTTGTTAGGGCTCCAGCGTTTGATGTTCCACAGAAAATAAATAGATGAGCTTCCCCTTCCTGCCGAGGCAGCCACGTGCATGTCGACGTGCTGAAGCTAGACCACAGCTGGAGCAAACCCTGCGACTACCCAGCTCCATAATGCGGAGAGGGAACGCTCTGCTAGTACCTGCATAGGGGAGACGGCAGCTGCTGGGGCCGTCCTCACTGGAATCCCACTCAGAGGGCTCCGCGGGACTTTGTGAACCGGGATGCTCTGCCCGGCGCTACCTGCAAGGAGAAGAAAAGGCAAAAGGGAACCTTTCAGATCCATCCGAAAGAACGGGTCATGACGTTTTCTCCCCCTCCTCTCAGAATAAGGACCCAGTGGCTTTCTGGTATTCAGCTGGCAGCAACCCAGCAGCCTCTATGCACTTCTAGCCCTGCCAAAAACCGCTATCGGGACGTTAGATGAAGGCAACAGATGTCATAAGCACGTGCTGTTTGCTGCTACGTCCTAAGTGTCCGTAACTTCCGTGAGAAACTGAAATCGGCTCCGACCCCGGGTGCTGAACTCAAGTACCTGAGCAGCCCAAATCAAAGGACTTGATCAGCGACTTCACAGTGGCGGCAGACTCCGGGGGAGTGGGGGACGCCCTGCTCACGCAGACTCCTTGCCAGCGGTTGGTGGTGTCTGCCTCCGTGGAGTCCACCTCCTCCGTGGTCAGCCTGCACAGCAGAAACCAGAACAAAGTCAGAGGCAACAGGAAGCACATGGCTGAGGTGAAAAATCCTCACACTCTGCAGGAAGGAAAGTAACTGCTGGAGCACGAGTTCTGCCTGCTTGTCTTCAACGTGCCCGGCATAAATCCCTCGTGCGGCCAGAAACACCGGTCCATCCTATCGGTGAGGAACCCAAGGTAAAGAGAAGAGACCTGACTTGTCCAAATGCACGCTTAGCACCAGAGCCGGGATTCCCGACTCTCAAAACCCTGTCCTCACACCTCCAGGCTCACCGCTGCCTGTCTCAAGTCCTGTTACCTGCTCCATGGGTCGCTATTTGGTCCGTTCCCGTTCTAGATACGACTACCGGGCGCCTGGGAATTTGCCAGGCTCAGGTGAGAAGTGGTTCTGAAAAAGACCTGGGGTTCATGGGACATAAATCAGCTGCACGTACGTTCCCAGTGCCACACAGGGGCCACAAGCACTGATGTTATCCTTGGCCACATTACTGTCTCCTCTGTGCTTGGCAGTGCCGATACTGCGCCCAGCTCTGGTGTGCACGATGCAAGAAGGATGCGGGTAAATTGGAGAGGGTTCAGAGAAGAGTAAGGAGAATGATTAAGAGATTGGAAAACCTGCCTTACAATATAATAAAGAGCTCAACAGTTCAGCTTATCCAAGAGGAAGTTCAGGTATGTCTTGTTCACAACCAACAAGCCCTTGTGTGGAAAAGAACCTCGACAGTGGTCTCCTCAGTCTAGTGGACACCGGCATCTCAAGGCTCATGGTGGGAAAGCAAACTGGACACATTCAAACTAGAAATAAAGCACAGGGGTTTGCTTTTCTTAGCAGCGGGGCTAATTAAACTGTTCAGCTGTGGCTGATTCATTACTGAACATTTTTAATTAAAAAAACTGCCTGTCTTTCTGCAACACGCACACTAGGTCAAGCACGGCAAGTGCACCCAGGGCAGGGACAAAGTCAGGGAAGTCCTTGCTCTGCGTCATGCTGGTCAGACTAGAAGATCGTAGAACCTATACACAGATTAATAAATTCATATGAAATATCCTGCTTACCCAGCAGCTGAGTATACTTTCCCGAGAGCCCTTGGGACCTCAGCCAACTAGAAGCTGGGTCTAGAAAAGCTCGAGTTAGGTGGCCGAGACTGATCCGTTACAAACCAAGCCTGTATTACATTATGTTCAGGGGTTGCCAGCGGCTGAAGCTACGTGGACTGATCCACAGCTCCCCCACGAATAGGTGAGACGCGGGAAAAAAGAAGTCAACAGGCAGAAATGAACTGCGAGTGGAGCGGTGGATGAAGCCCTTCCTCAAAGTGCCCACGGGGCTGCATGACTCCTGCTGGGCTAAAAATAGCAGTTAGAGGCGCTTTAATTTTATCTCTCTTTTGGCATCACCGGGAGGCTACAAAATGCAAGAGGGCTGGAGGTGCCGCGAGTGCGACGGAGAAGAATGACTCATGCTCGTGTTCCTGGCAGCGCTCAAGGAGGTGCTGTCTAAGCACACACTGGGCACTTCTTTGCTAATTCATCCAGGCTCCTGCGTGCCGCGGGGCTCCGGATGCAGATGGCTCGAGAAAAATCCATTTCAGTCCCGTTCTCCGGCTACGCCAATAAGGAGAGAAGGAAACAGCGGGTGAGATTTGCCGAGGTCTGAGGGATACCATCCCGGGTTTTATGGGTAGCCTTAAATCCCCTTCCTCCCACCTCCTTTGCCCCGCATGGCTTCACAAAACATAAGCAGCTTGTTAAGAGGCAGCAGCGTCTGAACTTTATTTGTAAGGAGGCACGAAGGCCCAGAGGAGGCCGGCCTCTGCTGAGATGCAGCTGCATCTCAGGATGCCCAGCTGGCCACGTCAACGCATTGCCCTTTACTTTACTTCTTTAAAGGAGACTGCCGTGCAGAAGGGCTGTGCAGTCTCCAAGGCAGAGCGAGCGTGAAGTGCACGGCACATAACCGGAGTCCGAAAGGCTGGCGAGTGCCCACAGACCTGAAAAAACTGCAACAGCTTGGGGGCAAAGCCAAGCTGAGGTTTCGCCTTGATAGATCAAAGTCCCGGCCCAGCTCTGGAAGCCAGTCCTAGGTTTTGTCCGTGGTGAGATGCACACCATGAGCTGTGGGTGGATGCCACGGACTCGGAGATACGCATACCCTGAAGCTATTAAACTCAAGCGTTTCACAACACAGAGGTCTTCCTGAGTGGAAATCTCTAGACTGAAGCCACGTGGAGCAGTGCTCAGGCATTTGGGCTTGGCTTCAATGCACGTCCCACCAGCCAATCCAAGATGTAATGGGGAACATGAGATTTGTGCGTCTCAGTGCTAAGCCTTTCACTCAAAACACGAGCAAAACCTTTATATAAAAGAGTAAAGGTTGGATGTTACCAGGGACCCGGCTTTCCAGCATGCTTTCAAAATTTAAGGCGGCAGAAATACATCTTGCAAGAGGAAAGAATTCAGAAAGATGGCATGAGAACATGACCCAGCAAGATAAGTGCCAAGCCGGAGCCGAAGACCAAAAACAACTTTTCCCAGTGCACAATCTAGGTTTGGCAAAGACTTAGGGGATATCCTGGGTCTTCTTAATGAAGCCTTCCTACAGAAAGGGCAGAACCTGCACAAAACAGTCATTTATGGCCGCGTGCTTTGCTTCAAACACAGATGAATGCTACATGCAGCTCGAGGCAGCAAGTGCCGCTAGCTGCAGCGGAGCAGCTTCAAGAGGAAGCCAAAGCACTTCAGCCACAGGAGAATTGAGAGAGGTTTTACATACCATCATCATTCACTTGATCCCCAGGAGTGTGAGAGAGTTGAGGCAATGAGCTTTCCTCTAATGCCAGCAGCTGGTCACTGTGTTTGTTCTTCAGGTCTGGATTACATGAATAATAGTGAGTCAACAAGGTGCAAACCTCAGGGTGCTTAATGCGTTTGTTATGGGGCTAAGAAGAGCAGATGATGGGAGGGTGGAGGGGGGCTCTGTTTGTAAGGCTCTGAACCG